TGAGCCTTGCCTGCCTTGTGCGAGCAGCAGGCGCGTTGCCAAGCGCTTTGGCCTCATGGAGGACGAGAAGGCTGCACTGAGCTGTGTAAGACTGCGGCCTTTTTGGATAGAATGGGGTTCCTTTAAGGGTTGCTACAAGGGTTTCAAAAAAGGCTGCAGTAAAGGGCCGTATTAATAGGACTTGCCACAGGGGGCCAGCATGGCATAAGGGGATGATCTCACTAATGCCGCATGCCAGCTGTTCCTCCGGATCGGTAGAGGGAAAGCTCAAGAGGGTTTCAGGGGGACTCGCCTTTGAGGAAGGGTTATGGTACATGAGTTCCGTGTGGTGTGGTCGAGTCGCCAGTTTGGCTTGTGGCATCCTCACGACTGCTTCCGCAAAGTCTTGTTTTCTTGGGCCCTGCATCTGAAACATACTCCAACTCCACATTTTGATTTCGCCTCCTCTCAACCTCCAACCGAGGCGTTTAAGTTCAAGCGGATCGTTTGCGGGCTCTTCGATGCTCATGTTTCCTGGCAGTGTGTGTTTGTTTTTTCCCCGAGTTTCTGTGTAACTGAACTCAAGAAGCAATGTCTGCGAACTAGAGGTGCCTGTGCACGGCTGAAAAGACTTGAAAGCTTCACCTCCGATTCGGCTCCCTGTTTGCGGTAAGTCTCGTGTGAGGTGTCGCTGGTGATGCCCAAACGCACAACCGTAAAGCCCATGTACTCGGATCCTCGCCGCTTGTCTAGTTGTGAGTGCTGAAAGCCCATGAGGTCTCATCAGTTTCTTTTGTCGCAACCTTTGGCAATGGATAAGCTGCCAGGAAGGCATTCGCCGGGGCACCTACCGGGGCGTGCTGCCCTTCACATGGCCACTTGCCGAGCACTTGGAGCGAAACAAAGGCCTCCACGATTGTACGGTTCAGTTGGTCTTGGCCATATGGGTTGTTGTCAAAATTATGGTCCCTTTTTGGGTGCCCTAAAAATTAGGGTGCCGTACTATACTAGGGACCCAAAACGGGACCCAAATCTTGACAACCACCATATGATGATTTGGGAGGCTGAGCTCTCATACTACACTCTAGACCTTCGAGTTGCCCTTCTTACGACATTCCGGTAAGCCTTGCTGTGAACAGCCTAATAGAAGTCCCTGACTCCAGACCGCAAGCCCCGGACCGAAAAGAGCCGCCAACAGAAAATATGGACTTTCAACCTCCAAACCGGTCCAAACCCCAAACCTCAGACCGCAAACGTCCTCTAAAACCCTTAAAAAAACCCTAACCCCTACCGGGGGGGGGCAGGGGACTTAGTAAGTAGGTTATAAGTAGAGTTATGAGTACCCTAAATGGAGTTGCCCCCATTATAACCCCACTTATAAACGACTCACTAAGTCCCCTTCCCCCTCCAAGTAAACCCCTAAAGCCCAAACCCTAAGCCTTCCCTGGCTCGTCGAGCCCCGCCTCTTCCAGGAAGGGTCGTCCAACCTATCTGGTCCGAGAATGGCCCGATCCTCGTCTTCAATGTACCTGACGGTTCATACCCCAGTTAGGGTACTTATAACTGTACTTATTAAGACCCATGAACCCCCAAGTAGAGGCCCTAATAGACTACAGGGTTCCTTTTTAAATAAAGGGGTCTACAAGGATTGCTTTAAGACTCTAAGAGGTATTTTGGTGGTTTTGTATAGGGGGCCTAAATAGTTACCAACACTTTTTGGGGGGTTCCTGATTCTAGTTATAGTATAGTGGGCGCAAAACCTTAGTCTGATTTTTGAGGACCCTATATCAGGGGTTTTGGCTGTTTAGCTGTCGTGAAGCCCGTGGTGCTTCACTCTCTGTGCAGGTATTTCTCTTGTCTGTTTGCTTCGGACCGAGGGCTGCAGCATTCGCAGTCGTTGAGGAAATGTTCAGGGGCAGGGGTATTCTTTGGGATAAAGTTGAGAACCCGAATATACAGACCCTGATTCACTGATAGGCGTTTGGGGGGGGGGGGTATAGTATGGTAATGCATAGGATCAACCCTCGTGTTGAAGCAGCTTAAGACCCTATCAAAGAACCTGCTCCTCACACAGATCATTGTTTGGGGTATACTATATACTTCTATTATGCTGTTTACAATATATCATATTAATATGCTAAATGTTATGTATTGGATATTATATATATGTTAGTTATGAGATATTGTATGTTATATAGTAGAGAATACAGCATTCGCCTTGTCTTCAAGGTTTAGGGTTTGAAGGGATTAGGGTTGAAGAGTTTAGGGTTTAAGTTTAAGGGTTAAGATGCAAAGCCTGGAGATAGGGCAGCAGTCGAAGCCACGGTTGAGCGGCAAAGGAGTGAAGCAAGTCCATGCATACCGGACTTGCCATGTGCCTGTCGTTTTAAAAGATCTCAGGTTCGATTCAGACGTCTGTTGACTCGGGACATTGTCGGCGGTGTACCATGTGACATTTCTCAAAATCCAGCTTGCTGTGTCTGTACAACAAAGTCAGGATATGCAGAGCTTGAAGAAGTGACGACCACTTGCGTCGTGGCAGTTATATGTTTCTTTCACACCTTTAGTTTGAGAGTTAAAGGCCAGGTCCCAATTCGGAAAAGGCCTTGTCTCAAAGTTCGGGTACGATTCTGTGTAACCTCTGCGGCTTGGGTCCTACGCAATATAATCGATTTCAGGAGGTGTCGTAGCTGTATCTGGAAGATCTAGATCTGCCCACCTATCGGTTGCACATTCCTGGCTCCTGGAGCCTTTTGTGCGCATGTGCGTCATCACCTACGAGCAGGACGCGGTTCTCCTGGTGTGCACCCTGCACTCCGAACCTGTCGAGCACTTGAAGCCCTGCACCCGGAATCGTCCCAACCCTCGAACCGAAACTGTCCAAGGATTGGAGCATCAATCGTAAACTTCGGCTAGTAGAGCCTGGGAGTTGATGGAACCTGAAGCAACTCCGTAGCCGAGGCTAGGATGCAGAAAGATGGGGCTGTTGCCGGTGAGCTCTGGTCTCCTCGTTTGAGTAGAACCTTCCGACAGAGCTTCAGCCTCGTTCATGTGGCTTGCCAAGCTCAGTCAGAGGTTTTGAGTTTCGTAGGAAAGCCTGGCCATGGCACCTGTCCTTCGACAGCTTGCAAGGAGCAGTGTCTGAAATGCACAGCAGAAACTTGCAGTGCACGCGGAGCAGTGTGAAAGATTCTCGCGCCAGACCTGGGCATCACATACATGAGGCACCCTGTTCACGATGATCGAACAGAATGTGGCATAGTGGAATACGTTTCCGCACCTTTGGTGACAGGGTGGACATCCAGTCTGCCTTGGTCATGCGACGTTCCTTCGCTTATCACAGCTTCAATGGGCTTGTAGGCAGAGTCTCCGAGCAACAGACGACGAAGAAATAACAGAGGAGGTTCTGGCTCCTTCCAGAAGCACGACGCCGAAACCCTGGGCAGCCGGTTTCGGGTTTATATAGGGGTTTAGAGTTTGGGTTTGGGGCACTGCTACGAGCGCGGTCTTTGATTTAACGATGTTCTGAGCAATCGCGAGCCATCTGATGAGTGCCTAGCTGCAGCAAATCCCACCCAGAGACTCCAATATCCCTTAATGAAGGAATATACCTTCAAATATAGCAGGATCCCTAATATGATTTAAGGCATGTTCCTTACTTCAGGGATATTCTTTGATTTCGGCATATTAAAGATATTCCTTAGTTTAGGTATATTCCTTGATTAAGGGATATTGGAGTCTCTGCGCCATGCTACACTCGCCTTTGGCTGCCTCCTGCGCGGCCTGGCTCCGTGCACTGGAGGCTGGCGGAAGAAATCCCGAAGAGTCGAAGAGTGTGAAATGGGCGTTTCCGAAAACTAGGGGTACCGTATTTTGGGTCCTTATAACAAGGATCCTACTATTTAAAAAAGTGGACATTAATTAGGGTCCCCTATTTTCGGGAAATCCCAACTACGGCCACAAAAAGTGTTCCCGAGGTGTTCCCGAGGTGTTCCGGAGGTGTTCCCGAGGTGTTCCGGAGGCGTAATTACCAGAGGTGTTGCCGAGGTGTTCTCGAGATGTTCCCGAGTTGTTACCGAGGTGTTCCCGATGTGTTTCCGAAGTGTTCCCGAGGTGTTCCCGAGGTGTTCCGGATGTGTTTCCGAGGTTCCGGAGGTGTTCCCGAGGTGTTCCCGAGGTGTTCCGGTTTTCCGGCATTGTTCCCGAAGGTGTTCTGGAGGGGTTCCCGAGGTGTTCCGGGACGTGTTCCGCCAAACCCTAAACCCTAAACCGCCTGCAACCCTAAACCCTAAACCCAACCCTAAACCGGTAGGTCGTAGGGCAGTGCCTTATAGTCGGAACAGACAACAGTGGTAAGCCTGTGAAACCTAACACCCGAAAGGCGACCACAATGAACCGGATTTATCTAGACCTTAGACTTGAAGCCCTACTTGCACCACCGCCAGCGAACAAGTCCCGAAATGGTCGTCTGATGGCCACCATGGCTTCAAGTGCGACTGAGATGGGAGAGTTCGTGCCGACAAGCCCTTCAACTTATATAAATCCAAAATTAGGGTGGGTGCGAAAAAACCCTAAACCCTGAACCCTAAACCCTGAACCCTTCATAAAGCCCCCCAAGCCCTGTCTATACCGTCCTTCGAAGCGGCGGCAAGGCTCGGGTTGGTGGCCGCTTCCATGCTGCAGTCCAGAATTGAGGAAGGGCTTAGGGTTTATAGGGTTTGGGGCTTAGGGCTTCTAGGATTTATAGGATTTATAGGGCTTATGGGCTTATGGGCTCATAGGGTTTATAGGGTTTAGGATTTCCTCAGGAGTTTTCCAACACCAGGGGTACCTTATTTGGGGTCCTTACAGTATGGGTCCTACTATTTAGGGTGCTATATGAGGGTTCCCTGTTTTGGGTTTCGGGTTTAGCGGTTCATTTAAGGCCGCGATCGGGTTTAGGATGAACGGTTGAGGCTTGGGGCTTTCATAGCTTAGGTTTTCCTGCCTGCTGACCCTAAGCCCTAAACCCTAAACCTCTGGGGTTTGGGGCTTCCGGGACTTGGCCGAAAGCAAGTATCCGGGCGACGATGCCTAGTACTAAGGGCTCACTATGGCTCACTCATCGCTTGTGCATGCGATGCTGAGTTTGCCTGGCAGGCAATGCCGCAATGCCAGCCAGTGCGTGTAAAGGCCTAAGCCCTAAACCCCTAAACTCTAAACCCTAGTTCAGAAATACCACTGATCGGTTAATTCAAAAAACAGGAAAGTGTAACTTCCCACAAACCTTGCCTGACCTGCTCGAGTGCGAGTGCCAAAAAACCCTAAACCTTAGGGTTCAGAGTCACAGACTCCACCCAGGCTTCATCCTCGAAGTGCCTCATTTGCAGAGAGTTTTGAAGAGTATCGTATGACGAAGTCTTGCCATGTTTTGTCACTTCGATGCTTTCTCCAGTCGATCGTGCCACGAAGGCTGGTGCTGAGTTTGGCTCCCTGAACTGCTGGTGGGGAAAGCGCCGTCCTCGACCGGCGCCTCACGAGGGCGTTGACTTCTGCGATTTCCAGGTCCACGGTCTCGCAGTGCTTTCTGATCTTTCTGGGTTCGGGATTTCAGGCCTGGTGCGACTCTGGACGCCTGCGGAACTTGCGGGGCCCTGAAGTTTTAGCCTGGGAGCCTCTCCAGTCAACCATTAGCTCACTAGCACCACCACCTCGACAAGGAAAAAGCAAACGACGACTACCACTACTTCTTCGACTAACTGCTTCTACTACTACGACGACGACGAGTACAACTAGTGCTCCTACTACTGCCACTACTACTCCTCCTCCTACTACTACTACTACTACTACCACCACCATAAGTACCACTAGTGTAGTTATCTTTGTGCTATGACGGTTCGTCCAGTGTGTTTTTGCTTGTGTTCGCGCCGGTGTCATCATCATCTTGCTCGCTCATCCAACAATTCCTTGAGACTGATGGAAGAAATTTTGCTCCGCTCCATTTCTCGGGAATACTGCCTGCACATCCCAAATGCCCTTGATCGTGTACACACAGCATTTGCCCTGGCAGGCTGGTATTCCGGAATGCCGCTAGCTTCCTTTAGATCCATCTAGATTGGGCCACGTTGCAGATGCCTCACAGCTTTACATGCATTGGAATCGCATTTTTTGTCAGGACTTCTCTGGCACAAAGAGGCCCCGGAGAGAGGAGAGCTCGATATTGAGGGGTCTTGGTACCTTCATTCATGCCGCGACCGGCTGGATGTGGACGGTTGTGTTCAGGTTCCCATGTCGAGGTTTCTAGCCTAGAAGCTTCCTGCTGAGCCCCCGAAAATCCGAAAACCCTAAACCCTAAACCTCGCCTAGATTGTCCGAGTGTGAGCGCCGAAACCCTAATCCGTGGCAGGTGGAAAAGGGCCCACAAAAAAGGTCAAAAAAGGTAGCTTCCCGTTTCAGCCATCTCAGAGGCAGATAAAGCCTGGATGCCCAGTGCCGGCCGTTGCCGAGGGCCAGGCGGGGATGGCAGAATAAATCAATTAGAATCAGCAATGACAATTACTAATATTTGTATGATTTTTTGGTACTGTTTATCATTATTACCACTTTTTGTTGCTGTTCGTATAATATGGAATATGATGACAACGATGTACAACCCCCCAATCTCGATTCTAGTTATTGAGGCTCCCAATTAGGCGGTGCGGTGCGAAGGAGAGCGGCGGAGGTACTCCAAGGGGGCGACTCTACTCACGTCGGAGCCTATTGTTGTAAACAGGCTCGTATGCTTGTACGGGGTTCTATTGCTGTGGGTTTGATGATCTTCAGGTGTTTGAGTGTTGGAGATGGCCGTGAAGTACCTAGATCCTGGATCGTGGCAGTTTTTTTTGTTCGGACGTCGTATTTTGCGGTTTCGGCACCTGCAATATCAGAACAACGAAGTATCCAAAGCAAGGTGCTACTGTACAAGTCGCGGTTTAAGTCTAGGAAGGGATCTTCCGAGCTTAGTATCTCGAGATCTTTTCACGGTCTTCAGCCAGCAGGACCTGGAAGGTGAAGCCCCCGGTCTCCAACTCGTCTAGAACCTCAGCCCGAAGCTTGGAGCCTTTTTGAGGTTGTGGCAGTGTTCGAGGACTTCATGGCGCAGACGATAATAATGACGCACCAGGACGGCCAGGGCTCCATGGATTCCAGGGGCTGGATGAAGAGAGTAGCTAGAGCCATGAGGCACGAGCGCTATAAAGCCGCAGCAGGATGAAGTCGCACTCGACCCCCAGCTCCGAGTCCCGAGCCCTTGCCTCGTACTTCCCTCGCCGATGCCTGCTTGATCGGCCTGGCCTGCCTTAAAACTTCACACCACCCAGCCTCTCAATCCAAATTCCACCCGCGAGGGAACCGTTGCCAAGCTTAAGAGTCCCAAGCGCTCAGCAGGAGCATTTGGACGGGCGGCAGCTGGCCACGCTGCTGGCACATGTGCTGCCAGCTCCGGGTCTTGCTCCAGGACCCTGCGGGCATCTGCTGGGGACAGGGCTCCGATTTGGCAGACTT